ACAATCTAATTCATCCAATTAATATTCAATTCATCAAATTAACACTAAATCGACATTCAATTCATCCAATTAACACTCAATTTATCAAAATTAACATCCAAAATTATCCAATAAAAATTCAATTTATCAAATCAATAACAAAGTAATATGAAAATTAATCAAATAAACATTTAATTCATTAATTCAACACTAAATTCACGTTACTTTTCATCTAATAAACATTCAATTAATAAAATTAACATTTAAATTCAACTGTTAACATTAAATTCACCCAATAAATATTCATTCCTCAAATTAACACCAAATTTATGTTCAATTGATGAAATCAATACCAAATATATATTCAATTCATACAATTTATATTACTTTAGTGTTAGTTTAATGAATTGAATGTTAATTTGGTATTGATTTGATGAATTGAATGTTAATTTGGTATTAATTTAATGAATTGAATGTTTATTATACAAAACAAATTATTAATTTAATGAATTGAATGTTAATTTGGTATTGATTTGATGAATTAAATGTTTATTGGATAATTTGCTATATTAAATTGATGTTGGTTTGATAAATTGAATTTTATTAGATGATTTTGGATGTTAATTTAATGAATTGAGTGTTAATTGAATGATTTTGAATATAAATTGGATGAATTGAATGTTAATTTAGTATTATTTTGATGAATTGAATATTTATTTGATGAAATTGAATGTTAAGTTAATTTGATGAATTAATTATTTATTACATGGAATTGAATGTGAATTTGATGAATTGAAAGTCAATTTAGTGTTAATTTCAAGAATTGAACATTAATTTGGGGTTAATTTGATGAATTGAATACTAATTGGATGAAATTGAATCTTAATTTGATGAATTTAATTGTAATTGAATGTTTATTATACGAAATGGAATGTTAATTTGGTGTTAATTTGACGAATTACATATTTATTCAATGAATTTTTATATTACATTGATGTTGGTTTGATAAATTAAATTTTTATTAGATAATTTTGGACGTTAATTTGATGAATTCAGTGTAAATTGGATGAATTTAAATATATATTGGATAAATTGAATGTTAATTTAGTGTTAATTTGAAAAATTAAAATTTTATTGGATGGATTTGATTGTTAGATTAATTTGATAAATTAAATGTTTATTAGATAGAATTGATTGCGAATTTAATGAATTGAATATTAATTTTGTGCTAATTTGATGAATTGAATGTTAGTTAGGTGTTGATTTGAAGAATTGCATGTTAATTTGATGAATTGAATGTTAAATGGTTAATTTAAATGTTAATTTAATGAATTGAATGTTTATTATTCGAAATAAAATGTTAATTTGTTAAATTGAATGTTAATTTGGTGTTGATTTGATGAATTAAATCTTTATTAGATGATTTTTTATTTTAATTTGATGAATTCAATGCTAATTTAATGAATTAAATATTAATTGGATGAATTGAATTTTAATTTGGTGTTAATATGATGAATTTAATGTTTATCTGGTATAAATTTGATGAATTGAATATTAAATGTTATTCAATGAAATTGAATGTTAATTTGTTGAATTGAATATTAATTTGGTATTGATTTGATGAATTGAATGAAATTGTATGTTACTTTGACGTTGATTTGTTAAATTGAACCTTTATTGGATGATTTTTTATTCTAATTTGATAAATTGAGTGTTAATTTAATGAATTTGAATATAAATTCGATGAATTGAATGTTAATTTTGTGTTAATTTTAGGAATTGAATATTAATTGGATGTGATTAAATGTTAAGTTAAAGAATTGAATGTTTATTAGATGAAATTAAATGTTGATTTGAAAAATTGGTGTTAATTCGTTATTTATATAATGTTTATTGGATGAAATTGTATGTTGCTTTGGTGTTAATTTGTTAAATTGAATCTTTTTGGGAGGATTTTAGATGTTAATTTTATGAATTGAATGTTAATTGAATGAATTTGAATATAAATTGGATGAGATTGAATGTTACGTTGATGAATTAAATGTTTATTAGTTAAATTTTAATGTTAATTTAATGAATTAAATATTTATTAGGTAAAATTAAATGTTGATTTGAAGAATTGAATGTTAATTTGGTATAAATTTGATGAATTGAGTATATTTTAGAAATAAAATTGATAAATTAATATTTTAGGAACCATAAATATATATAACTTTAAGGATAAAAGTGTAATTAACTTTTGCTTATATTAGGACCAGGAAGCGACGGTCGGTCGTAGCTTAGAAATGAAGACTTACACTTTCATCCCTAAATTTATACATATTTATTAATTTGGTCTTTAAATTATTAATTTTTTAATTTAACTCTTAAAATATTTAATTTTGCGTTCAAATAGTCCTACATAAACATTTAACATGCAAAATCATCCAATAAAATAATCCAATTAATATTCAACTCATTAAATTTACACTAGATTAACATTCAACTCTTCAAATCAAATTCAACTTCATCTGATAAACATTTAATTCATCAAATTAACATTCAAATTCAACAAATTACCATTCAATTCATCCAATTTATATTCAAATTCATTCAATTAATACTCAATTAATCTAACTAATATTCATTTATCAAATTAACACCAAATTAATATTTAATTCATCAAATTATTTGGTAGGTAATATGGTTAGAGATGGGTAACGTTGGTGTTACAATTTTTTTTTAAGTTGGATTACAACTTTTATGAATTGAGTTTCAACTTTTTGGGGTATGTTATTATTTTTGGAACAAATTCGTCAAATTAATATCTAAAATCATTTAATAAATATTTAATTTATCAAATCAACATCAAAGTAACATACAATTTCATCCAATTAATACTCAATTACATCAAATTAACATTCAAGTCTTCAAATCAACATTTAATTTTACCTAATAAACATTTAATTCATTAAATTAACATTAAAATTCAACTAATAAAATTTTAATTCATCAATGTAACATTCAATCTCATCCAATTTATATTCAAATTCATTCAATTAACATTCAATTCATAAAATTAATATCGAAAATCCTCCAATAAAGATTCAATTTAACAAATTAATATCAAAGTAACATGCAATTTCTTTCAATAAATATTTAATTTTTCAAATAAATAACAAATTAAAATTCAATCAACATTCAATTTCATCTAATAAACATTTAATTCATCAACTTAACATTCAATCACATCCAATTAATATTCAATTCATCAAATTAACACAAAATTAATATTCAATTCATCTAATTTATATTTTTTTTATCATCATCTAATTTATATTCAAATTCATTAAATTAGTACTCAATTTATCAAATTAGCATCGAAAATCATCCAATAAATGTTCAATTTAACAAACCAACATCAAAGTAAAATACAATTTCATTCAATAAACATTTAATTCATCAAATCAATACGAAATTAATATTCAATTCAACAAATTAACATTTAATATTCAATTCATCATATTAACACCAAATTCTAAACCAAGCAAATACTTTTGTATGGTGAAAGGGGGAAGAGATGTATGGTAAAAGAGATGGAGGGAAGGCAAAAGAAGTGAAAAATGGTTTGGGTGGAAAAAGAGATGGAGTGAAGGCAAGATAAGTGAAAAATGGTTTGGGCGGGAAAGTGGTGTGAAGGGAGAAGATAAGATTTTTGTGATTTGTGGACCACAATATAAATTGAAAAATAAAAATATAATATAATATAATTTGTGGGGTGTAAGTGTAATTTATAACTAGAAGAATAAAGACCAGTCGAAGAAATGGACAATCGATCGAGGGTTAATATCACATTTTTATCCCTTAACTATCACACTTTTATCCTTTAAATAATCAAAAAATTCCTACTACAGTCAAAAAACATTCAATATTTTTTAAATAGTCCCATTTTTTATTAACAACAAATAAATAATGAATAAAATTAAATAATTAAAAGAATTGTAAATAATGCTTCCAACTATTTGGGTAGGGGTATAACTTTTTTGGATTGAGTTCTAATTTTTGGGGAGACTCGAATTAGCTAGATTACAACTGTTTTGGTGAGATTTCAACTATTTTGAATTGTGTTATAAGTTTTTGGGATGAGATTTAATTTTTTAGGGCTGAATAATATTTTTTTTGGGTGTTTCTAATTTTTTGAGATAGAGATTCCAACTCTCTGGGGGAGGGGTTACAATTTTTTTGGGTAGGAGTTTCAACTTTTTTAGGGAGGGATTCCAACCAATTAGGTAGGAGTATTAACTTTCTTGGATAGAGGTTCCAACTCTTGGAGGAAAGGGATCCAATTTTTTTGGGTAAGGGTTCCAGTTTTTTGGATAGAAGTTTCAACTTTTTTGGGGAGGAGTTCCAACTTTTTTAGGTAGGGGTTTAATTTTTTTGGGTAGGGGTTCCAATTCTTGAGGAAGGGGTTCCAATTTTTTTGGGTAAAGGTTCCAACTCTTGATGAAAAGAGTTCCAACTTTTTTGGGTAGGAGTTTTAACTTTTTTAGTTAAGAGTTCCAACTTTTTTGGTTAGGAGTTCCAACTTTTGGGGGCGGGGTTCCAACCTTTTTGAGGAGGGGAGGAAGGAGTTCCAACTTTTTTGGGTTGAATTCCAATTTTTTTGGTACCAATTATAACTACTTTTATGGTTTAACACTATACTTGAACACTATACTTGTGAAACCGATTTTAATGAGCCCCGTGTAATGCAGACAGGTCAACTTACTTTTCGGTACGGTACCGAAAAATAAGTTGGCGGTATAGCAGTGTTTCCCATTTCATTAAGATTAGAATGCCCTTCTTATTATGTAGATAGGACATATGCAGCAAACTTGTCTTCTCACCAATGAATCCATTGGCAGTGATTTGAAACCCACCCCCTCATGGGTTTCACTGAAGCCTCCATACGGGGGTTTATCGGAACTATTCATGTCGGGCTAGGACCAAAAAAACACTCAAAGAACGGGCCTTAAGAGAGAACACTTCCATGTATAAGCAACCAAAATAGCTTTGCCCATATACTCTACCTCATGAAATGGCTAAAAAATAAAATAACGTGAAAGGAATAGCTAAGCCAGAGAAAGCGCAGAAACCAGCATCTAGAAAAAAAAAGGTTTCTTTAACTTCCCACTTCCCAGTCAGCCAGCAGAAGTGCAGAACATCAAGGAGCATTTCAAGCTAAAAACTAAGTTCTATTGAATATGAAGTGAAAAGAAACGAGAGTAACTAGAACAATGAAACAGGCACCTCACTCATGGTACCAGACATGCAAGGAGAATTTGAACCCAACAGCGCATCTAAATTATGTCTATTCTCCGGGTGCTGAAACACCTTGCTTCAGTTTTTCCCTCTTTATCTTCTTCTTGGAGACTGGCTTCTTTTTCTTTGGAGGAAGGGTCTTCTGTGCATACATGTAAAGTACATAATTTCCGACAAGAAAGGTCAGCAGTAGCCCACCAACAACAAGCAAGACAATCAGTCCTGGGTTGAACCCTTTGCCTTCACCATTGTGGACAACACTTTTCTGTTCATCATTAGATCAAAGAAAAGGTAAATGCATATTACATCCCAAAAAGGCTCACCAAATGGCAAAAAAACAAAGACAATACAGAAAAAGGAACCATTTATTAGTGTTGTGCTCCGATGCAAGAGGGCATGCATTAGTGATCGACTTGCAAATTTCCACAAGATTAGATCACTCGATAAAAATTTCCTATTTTAAGTTGAAGCTCCCCTAGAGTGTGCCAAACAAAAGAACTCTTGCTGCGAGTGTACTTTCTGTACTTTCCAAGCAGTTGAGTGCCTGTGTGCGAGAGCAAAACAGAGAAACCAGGTGCAAGCGTTGGTTTTTATTGTGTGTCGGTATTCTGTCTTTCAGTGGCGAGGCTGTGCTACCGTCAAGTGTTGTGTACTCTACTAAGGGTAAGAAGTTCTTGCTTAGGAATTAGGATAAATGAGTTACTCATTTAAGAAGTTTGTTATCCACACTGTTTCAACTTTGAACACAGACAGACAATAATCAATAAAGGGGGAAAATAGCATACAGTGTGCTACAGTGAAGTTTATATCAGTTTCTCATTTAAAAAAATTGTCACCCACAGTTTGAGCTTTGAGTATAGACATATATAAAAGGAGAAAATAGCTAATGAAAAAACATAATAAAAACCTCATTAAGCCTCCTACAACATAGTTCCACTTTGCTAATATGACTAAGACACTGACTTTAATTTGCTATCTACATAGTACAATGCAGAATCTTAATTCTTACATCAAATCTATACGGAATTTACTATGCTGGTATAATAAGAACATTTCTAATTCTTACACTTTTTTAGATTTAAATTTAAATTTGAGTAACAATAGTCTAAAAATCTTATCCAATCCTATATCCAAAGTCATACCAAATCATGAGAGACTTAAATTTTTTCAAACCAAAGGAGAGTCAAACCTTTACTCAAATCATTGAGTTTGCCCTCCTTTAATTGAGGTTGTACTCCTTTAAATTTGAGATTTTTCATTGGAGCATTTTTTATTCAAATATTGACTCAAATACCAGGAAAAATCTAAGTGAAGGTTGGAGATTCTGTAATAAACTCAGGAAATCAAATAAACAGTATCACGACAATAAAGAGGATGAAAATATTCTAGATTAAGACATCCGGTTAGGACCTATTTCAAACCAGAAAACGTTAACAATCAGGCATTTAGATCCAAAGGCCGAACGTTACACCAACGTAAACCAAAAAAAAAAAAAATTCTAACCACAATCGAAAATGTTTTATGTTATGTTTTTCTCTAGTGATTTGCAGATCCAATCTTAACTAATGCCTAAGCAAATGACAACAAATTGAAATTAACTAAAATCAGATACAACGCAAACAAAACATAAAATCACTGCATCAACTGATACATCGATCTATAGACACCCAAAAGCCTAGATCACAGCATATTTGACGAAGAAACAGTTCCAATCAAAATAGATCGACAAACTGAATAACAAGAAAGAAAGAAAAAAAAACAAAATTAAAACATAGAATTTGAGATTTAGGAGGTGTACCACTCGATCGAACGACGGAGGGGGGTCATCGCCGTAGTCCATGGCTTGAAATTCCACAGGAGTGACCGATGGATCGAGCTATCGATCGTCGCCTCTGCGAGGTACTGCGTTCCAGACAGCAGCAAATTTTGACACTTTCAGCTCATGAATAAAACACGGTACTTGTAAGTTGTAACAGTCGGGTCGTAGATTTACTTTTAGGTCCTTGAGGTTTGGTATATTTTCTGAACTGTCCCTTGAACCATTATTTTAATAGAAATCAGCTTGACTCTAACACCCGCTCAACAAGAGTGAAAAGTAAGAAGAATGGAAAGTAAGAGTACTATATTTCTTATCTTTTAAGGATGAAAAATAGAACGAATATATTTTTCTTCTTTTGTATTTGATTGGATGGATAAAAAATAAAAATGATTAATTTTTTTTTGTGTTTGTTAAGATTAAGTGTGGCAATCGAGTAGTATGGTGTCATATTGGTGTCGAGTCATTACGGGTTTGTATCGAATATTAATCAATTTTAAATTAATTCATTTAATTAATTGTGTCGTGTCGAGTTGAAAGTTGACTTGTTTATTTTCGTATGGAATTCAAGTCGTGTCATCGCGTTGAGTCAAAAATATTTATCGTTAGTTAAGATGGAAAAAATATATATTTTTTTAATTTAAATTTTTTTAATTTTATTTTTGAAATTTTTTAATATATATATATATATTTTATCATTATATTTTTATATAAAATTAATGTATACATAATATATGTATATATAAAAAAATAAGATACATCTTAACACAAATAATTAACTTTTCATCCACTTTCCTTTCGATTTTGGAGGGATTGATTTTGGTGAGTCGAAAGAAAAATTAATCCATCAACTTTTTCATCTTTCTTATTTTCCTTCCTTACCAAACATGATGTTTTATTTACCTCTCAAACTTTTTATCATTCTAATTTTCTATTCTCCCATTTTTTTATAGTATCAAACGGAGCATTAGTGATCCTAACGGTGCCGGGTGAAATGTTTGTCACTCGAGGAATAAAAGTTATTCCAGTAATAATAGGTTGTTAACTTGCATCAACGCGGAGTTTTTTGCAACCAAGGGTTGGAGTATGTTTCGTATATTAAAGTGATACGTTAGTTAGATTTAGAACATCACGAGACAATTCAATCTACAATCGGTGTGAATTTTAAAGCATTAAAAAGACCTTTTTATTAATATTAGAGATGAACCTGACCCAGAAGCACGTACAATGAATTCTTTTTCCATTATTAGTCTTTGTGATGTGGGGGCACTGACTTCTTTGAAAGAGGTGAATACATAATAGAATAAAATTTTCTTTTTCCTAATTTTGTTACGTTGACCCTTAAATTTTTTAATAATTTGTATAGCGGCCCTTCTTTTTGATAAGCCAGTGGTTCACTCCCCCACCAAACATAATGCCTTATCTAATACACTTCCTTTTATTTTTAAAAATCAGCTTCTTTTTTTTTTTATAGTAATTTTTCAACAGCTTGGATGATGAACTAAACCAAATTTTACTATAAGATAAAAAATAATTTTGGACTAACTCTTTGATTGTAAACATTAAAAAGAAACTAGTGAAAAATTTACCATGTAGTTAATCAATTATAACCCATTTTTTGAATTAAGAAATAGTTATCTTTTTTTATTTATATTTTTTTTAATATTAAATTGATATTGATTTTAATTTTCACATTCTCAAACATTAAATAATTTCTCATATTGAACTAATGAATTTATTTATATGTAAATATCATCGATTTAATTCTCATCAATAGAGGTTTGGAAATTTTTTTAATATCAATTAATTTTTTTTCATTCATATTGTGTACTCTCTAAGATAGAATTCTAGCTTCGCCCCTGAATTTAGGATTTAGCAATTGATAAGCATGATGCAATTGGGAAAAAAAAAAAACAAAAGATAATTATCTTTTAATCCCGTCGTGGTTTGATCCAGAATTAGTTATGTCCTTTATATATGAAAATAAATATATTAGTCCCTGCATTTGTGAATCGAAAATAAGATCGACAAACTCTGTTAATAGTGGATAAGTTTAGCAAATTGAGTCCCTAAGCTCAAGTAGCATTATTACTCATTTTAATATTAATATCATGTTTGGATTATGTTCTAGGGTCCAATCCCATAACAAGAACTAATATCACTTTGATTCTGCTCTTTCAAATAATACCATAAACACAGTACAAGCCAATCACACGAGATTGTTATATACATATTTTTAATATATTTTTTTTAAGTAGTATTAGAGGTAGTTATTAAAAATTTATTTTAGTAAGTAAGTTAGTGATAGNATTTGTATAGCGGCCCTTCTTTTTGATAAGCCAGTGGTTCACTCCCCCACCAAACCTATCAAAATGTCCAAAATGACCAAACATAATGCCTTATCTAATACACTTCCTTTTATTTTTAAAAATCAGCTTTTTTTTTTTATAGTAATTTTTCAACAGCTTGGATGATGAACTAAACCAAATTTTACTATAAGATAAAAAATAATTTTGGACTAACTCTTTGATTGTAAACATTAAAAAGAAACTAGTGAAAAATTTACCATGTAGTTAATCAATTATAACCCATTTTTTGAATTAAGAAATAGTTATCTGTTTTTATTTATATTTTTTTTAATATTGAATTGATATTGATTTTAATTTTCACATTCTCAAACATTAAATAATTTCTCATATTGAACTAATGAATTTATTTATATGTAAATATCATCGATTTAATTCTCATCAATAGAGGTTTGGAAATTTTTTTAATATCAATTAATTTTTTTTCATTCATATTGTGTACTCTCTAAGATAGAATTCTAGCTTCGCCCCTGAATTTAGGATTTAGCAATTGATAAGCATGATGCAATTGGAAAAAAAAAAAAACAAAAGATAATTATCTTTTAATCCCGTCGTGGTTTGATCCAGAATTAGTTATGTCCTTTATATATGAAAATAAATATATTAGCCCCTGCATTTGTGAATCGAAAATAAGATCGACAAACTCTGTTAATAGTGGATAAGTTTAGCAAATTGAGTCCCTAAGCTCAAGTAGCATTATTACTCATTTTAATATTAATATCATGTTTGGATTATGTTCTAGGGTCCAATCCCATAACAAGAACTAATATCACTTTGATTCTGCTCTTTCAAATAATACCATAAACACAGTACAAGCCAATCACACGAGATTGTTATATACATATTTTTAATATATTTTTTTTAAGTAGTATTAGAGGTAGTTATTAAAAATTTATTTTAGTAAGTAAGTTAGTGATAGAATATTTGTGGGTAATTTTTTAGTTGGTTATCTATTTAGTGAAGTTAACGAGGTCTATCTGATAATAATTTTATAGTTATTTTTATTATGTATTTAAAAACTTGTTATCATTGTAAAGAGGATGTTTAATATTGTGATAAATTTTGTAATTGATGTTTTTGGAGATTCGATTCTTCTCGAATTAAACCTCCGGAGGCGTTCATCGCCCATCGAAACGGATTTTCTTTTTTCAATTCTATTTTTTATTTATTTTTTAAATTCCTCAAAATGTGCACTTAACATATAGATGATATAAAGTCACACTTGATTGATATTAGGATTTGAACAGACGAGAGTACCCCTAAAATAATTTTCAGTGAGATTGAATATAAAAGTATTTCTAATAGTGCTCTTCAAAATAGAGAGTAACTTTTTCGAAATAAAAAACATCTTTATTCAAAAGTTAAAATAGCGTGGGAAAATTTATATACCACTCCAATAAGGCTATTTATTTTTACTATTTTATATTTTATCCTTTTTAGGAATAAATTTAACAATTATTTTTTTTTCCTTTATTCTTTTACCAAATTTTAAATATTTTATTTACCCATCGTTTCCCATGGTTTCGTTCCAGTCCCCTGCCATGTTTCTTCCATCTTGTTTCAGCCCCCTCTTTTATTCCTTATTACATCTTGTTGGAATGGCAAAAATGGAGACTCGATCGAGACAAACACTTCAAAAAATTATTTTAATATTCTGACTTGATGTTGTGTGCTTTGTTTCTTCGAAAATCTCATTCCGAGACTAAGATTATGGAGTCACAAGAGGAGATTTGTTTTGATCGGGGATGTTTACCCTATCGGACGGGTAAGAATTATGATATTTTATATTCTTACCTGATATTTTGTGAAAAAAAATTTTCTTGATTTATTTTACCCGATCAAATATATTATTCTTACCCGAATTCTGCACAAAATAATTGGGTAAGAAATCGAGTGAACACATAATTTTTAGTTATTAATTTTTGAATCATTTTAACAATTTAATTAAGTAACATGCACCAATTAATTACCACAATAAATTAATAACACTAAAAAAAATACAATAAATTTGATAATAAATAAACAATTATAATAAAACACAAAAAGAAAGTCATAAACATCAATACATCATATATAAGAAAGCTGTAAACATAAATAAAATATTAGGGTTTCTAATATTATATATATATATATAGTAAGATAAGAATACAAAAATTTTGTAAGCATTTCGTATTTTTATCTAATTTTTTGTAGACTATCAAAAGATATTCTGTTGGTCAACTCGATTTTTTCGAGTAATCGATTAGTAAGGTCAGATAGTGTAGGGTAGGACCGAAATTTGATGATAATAAAAAATTTAAACACCCCTAGTTTTGATGTAAAGAATGTTTACCTTAAACTTCTTAGACGAAAAAATAGATACACTCTTTTTCTATTTTCAAAAAAATAGGGTACAAAATGAATTTGACTCTCTAAATGTACTCTTTATTTTAAAGAGCTTAAGTAGAGAATGTATTGGAGATTAATTTTTAAGAGTAAACTCACTAAAATAAAAAATCGAGTCAAACTAAAGAGTCAATTAGAGACACTCTAAGGTGTTACTATACTTTAAAATCTAATATCATATATTATTAATCTAGAATCCCACTATAAGGTTGATATTGAAACAATGGTCTCACACTTTACCCCTCCAAAGCAAATACTATCAAATGACTGCAATAGACCAATTAAAACAATTCTAAACATTAAACCACTGATGTTCCGTTGTTCTAAGCTTATCGTCTCATCACCGATAACAATTCCGGCGAGGTTGCGGGAAGGGTTGTTGATTCTTTAACTGTGTCGTCTTGTTCTTCAGTAATTTCTCCTCTGAGATTGGTTTCACTTGGCAATGGTGTAGGTGGGTGGTGAGTAGAAGAAGTATCATTGGGAGTGTCTCTGAGAGTCCACTGTGTTGACAAAGGAGTGCGAGGAGGTTGCAAGAACTGTTGTTGTTTCTTCCTTTTGGCTCTTACCTCGGCATGCCATTGCTTTATTATGTTTGCTATTTGCTCTTCTAGGACCTTACTCTTATACTGTGAACCCATCTGGTGAACAAACAATAAATCAAACACCTCCCGCGCATGAAAAAATGAGCGCCGTACTTTACAATAAACACTATTTAATCCATCATAGCAAGCCAAAAACTATGAATATGCCCACTAACTCCATCCAAAATTGTGGAAGATAGAGTACAGGTAATCAATTATGAGTACAACTGCTAATGGAGATAGGAAATATAGCTGTCTCAATTGTAATACTAACAAATGTATGGCTGCAGGGTAGAAGTGGTAGCATATAGACACCTTTGCATACAGTGAGGACAGTGAATCATAGACAAAAACGCAAAGGATCTATTGCTGTGTCACAAGCTCGGGTTTTAAGATCCAAACCGAATTAGTAAACCCGATTCAATCTGAGTTACAACCCAAGAAACACACGGAGTTGAATCCAATTGGACTAGATTGGAACCTGAATTTCAGTAGGAGTTTTGCAACCCATGTTCAACTTGAGCTAAAAATTTTAATTAATGAACAGTATTTAGGTTAAATTAGAGTTTGCGTTGAATTCAAATCGAGGATTTTTAACTAAGTTGAGCAAATTAACCTCTTAACCCACCCAAGTTCCACTCTTATCCTAGTAGTATACTCACAAAGTATGGGAGAGTAGTAATTCACCTGTGTCACAAGTGCATATAGGGGAAGAGTTACATAGCTGCAAGTAACTTGAACTGCTACCCTGAGGAAAAGAAAACATTGAAATTAAGAATGAAAGCTAATGATCACTTGAAACAATTCAAATAGCATTGTCTTGTCTCCCAAAACAGTGCAATGGAGATATTGAAGTCTTCAATTACTAACTAACAGTTCGGTTATATATCCGGGAGCTTACGCTAATACTACTCTTGTGATAATGATCCAAGTGTTCTCGTGGTAACAAGACTGCAACCCAAACTGTATCTGCAATCAAAAATCAAATTTGAGTGCAGCCAGGTTTTTGCTAGTTTTTTTTTTTTTTTTTGCTCATTGGTTTTTGCTAGTTAAAACATTCCAATCACGACTAACAAAAAACATTGTAGCTGGAGACAGAAATGAAAAAGAATACTTACACTGACCCAAATGAAGAAAGCAAACTCGAAAGCATTCTACCAATAATCCACAAAAAGAGGTAGCACTGTTAGTACTATAATCCCCTTCATCTTTCGTAAAATGCACACATAAACACACACAAGCTACCGAAATTACAGAGAATAATTTGGTTCCATACACATTGTTAGACTCGAACTTGGTCCAAAAATCTAAATTGCGTGATTAGTTCCAACCTCTGTTTCTTTGTTTATTTGCAATAGTTTCATTACAAAGAAAGAGAGTGTACCACAAAAAGGGTCAGATGTAGAAGAGTGAGAACAAATCTTGGCTGCCTGAACCAGAAAAGATCATCGTTGGGTTGAACGAGAGGCGTCCCAACTATCACATTGTTCTGTTTTTTCAGCTGGAGAGCCATTCTTGCAACAATGACTTCAAGTTTGGTTCCAAGTATTAGCACTACCTGCACAGAGAATAGAATCTAAGCCTGAGACTAGAAAACAAGATGAGAGAAATTAGACATATTTGTGTGCATAGTCATATATACTTACAACTAGTGGAACATAAGATATCCAGAGATACACATTCCAACCTGGTTGAGATCAAACACCAGCATAAGAAAAGACAACAAGCATCCACAAGAAAGAAGTTCTCAATTCAACTCGAGTATTCCCCATGTTTAAACTTAGGTTGACATAGAGTTTTATTCTTGGGTTAAAAATCGAGTCACGCTTATATTTATTTTCATTGTTAGATTATACAAAGATAAAATATGGGTTGAGCCCGAATTCATCATATTCAGATCGAGTTTCGAAAACCTAAGGCTCCAATCAGAATATTACCCAAACCTATATTAGGTNCACTCCAATCTACTCGTCCAATAAATCAGAAATTATGTTGTGTGCTCTCCAAATACAGACTGTCTTAATGCCGAAATGTAATGTACTAATGTCTGCCTTAAATCCAAAAATAATTGATGCAGAATGATAATGAGTCTGGGTTTATATAGACAAACTAATGATTGTTCCGGACAATCACCATGCAAAAAGACACAACCCAGTAGACACATGCAGTTAGACGACACCAACGTATAACCTGTTCTCTATGAACAGACACTATTCAAAATTTGGACCGAAGGAAAGCAAAAATCTGGACTAGTGTGAATTCAAATTCAATAGATATCGAAATTAAATTTTGGATTAAGAAATTCACGTCAAATTTGTTAAACGAATTTTCTCTAAAAAGATAGAACTTGGTCTAAATCACACTCGTACCCGAGCCTGGCCGAGTCATGGTTGTGACGTGGTGGGCGGGTGCGTGTGTGGTTGAACTGACGGCATATAGGCGTTTATTCTGTTCATAAAATTGTGGTATCCCTTGGAGCCCAATCTCATAAAGCAAACTTAACCTATATATGCTCATGTAAAACTTCTTTCTCAACCAATGAGAGATTGATGTCAAATTTCATATTACACAACCTCTATTTTCACATCTCAAGATGGTCAATTTAGAGCTTATTTTCTCATTCATTTTTTACTCGATTTGAACAAGTGAATATATTACGTTATTCTCATCACGGAGTAGAACATGAGCCCACAAAAGTTTATTTGAAACAATGAACGGATCTCACTTTAATTTAGGTCTAAACTCAGCCAAAAATTAAATTTTAATTACTAAAATATGTTTTTAGTTCAACAAATACTACAACTAGGAAATTAAATCGTCAACTTATAATAACACGAAAACAGTTAAGATTAATCTAATTTTTATTTACTTTAATCTAATGATAAAAAATATTATTTTATCTGTAACACCTCTGATATTAAACAACTCAAGCAACACACCTCTCAAAAAAAAAAAATTAGTCTCTCTTCTGTTTCCTTTTTTACCTCTTTCTTATTTTTTTCTATTCAAATTAATTTTAAAATACATAATTAAAAAAATTAATTTAAACATTACTATTCAAAATATAAATATTATATGATCAATATTTAGTTTTTTAGTATTACAAGGTGTTGTTAACCGGGGGTATTACAAGTAGGGTTAATTGAAGGTCGGCCTAGGTTTGTAGAGTTTTAGAATAGTTAGTCCACACGCATACCTTTGGAGCTTCAAGGATAATTAAAGGTATAAAGATAAATTTACCCTGACATAAATAATTATATTTCAAAATGAACAATAACAGTAACATCAAGACAATAACAATAACAGCGAGACAGTAACAATATCATAGGATAATGAAATTGAGACAGAAACAATTATAAACATAGTGAATTTTTTGTTGTAACTGTCTATCGTCACTGTCCAAAATTCACAGAACTAGACATTAATGTAAATATTTATTGTTATTGTCTATTTTGTCTATGGAACTAAACAATAACGTGAACTAAATAATTACACAATTATAGTAACGATTACAATTACTGTCAAAATTCTGCGGAACTAGACAGTAACGTAAACTAAACAACTAAGCAATAACAGTAATAGTCATAGTCACCATCAAAATTCTATTGAATTAGACAATCATACGATGACAATAATAACTACAGTAATGGTGATACAGATAGTAAATTTCGTTATCACTGTCTAAATTTTAAGGTGTGAATTTAAAATGAATTTTACTTAATACCGAAGGAATTTTCTCCAATTTAGTTGATCATCACACTATTAACAAAATTATCGTGTTTGAATAATTTGAGTTTGAAATTAAATTAAATAAGTATTAACAAACTAGTTCTCGTAGTAATTAAAGAATTAGTGCAAGTACTATCACTTGGAACAAGGAATTTGCTAGCTCCTGTTCTCTTTTCGTATTGGACACCAAAATTTTTATATATTCCGATGACCACAATGAAGATGACGATCGTGGAGAGGTATACGAGCTATCGTGGCCTTTGATATTTGAGATGTGTTCATTGTCGAAGGATTTGAAGACCACGTCGGAGTAGAAAGGTGGTTTGCGGATTGAATTGAAAAGGGAGGAGGAAAAGCTAGGGTTTTGATTGGGTGTTTCGGGGCGTATGAGTAAGAATGGAGGAGAGGAGAGTGGAAGATCATCGTTGGTAGAGATTTCGGCAAACGATAGAGATGAGGATGGGGAGTCTAAGAACGATTGTTAGCCGTTGGATGCATCGGTGAGGACCATGGATTCCATTTCTTCTCTAAATGCATAGAGATGGGCTTCTCCGTAGCTTTGGCTCTCAAATCAAAGCAAATCCCATCTTTTTATTACAAGTACTACTTTAATACTAAAGCGTCAGCAATGGGTCGGATTGGTTCACCAGTCAATCGATTGTGCCCACTCTTGGGCCGGGCCATGGGATATTCATCCGGTAATCTTCGGCCTATTTTGGTTTTCAAGGGATTATCCTTTAGGGCCGATCTTAATGAACCTTTAAAAGCTTCATAATTCGACTTTGTTATTTTTTAGTGGGTTTTTTTGAAAATTGGTACACTTAATTAGGTTTATTTGGTAAAAAGTATATAAAACAAAATATTTTAGAAAAAAGTATGCAAATAAGTTACAAAGACATAAATGCCCATTTTAGGGTCATTTAATTCAAAATCTTTTATCTTTAATGTATCTTGATTCATATGTATTTATTAATACATATAAATACATATTTAATGCATCTTGATTCATGTGTATTTGTTAATACATGTATATATATACAAGTGTAATTAATGCACCTCGATTCATGCATATTTTTTTTTTTAGAAAGTGATTTTATTTTCAAATTATATTTAATGCACCTTGATTCAAGTGTTTTTTTTTTTT